TGACAAACTGTTTTTATTATTCCTGCCCTAAGCTGCTGTGTTTTAGAAATTATGAAAATACAAACATGGCCGAGTAATTGTTGTTGTGTCGGCAGTGTCAGAACGGGCTCGGGACATCTGTTTCCACACTCTTATAGATGTCATGAATTGTGCTTAAACTTCAAAACTGATGTCCGTTTATCATTGATTTGAAGCGGTACATCCAATTACCATTGACTTAAAGTTAAACAAATCAAATATGCAGCTTTCATGTCAAACATGAAGTTTTACTCGACCTTTTTCAAATGTGTACATGATACAAAGTGTCTTTTGATTTGAGATGTACTGACAGTCAGTAAAAGTTGAAAATTCTGAAGCTTGCCAGAGAGATTTATTGACAAGTGTTGATGTTCTAAATATAAAAACATGAGAAGATATTCTGTTTATCATTCAAGTTCATTAATCTTACTGCTTTTAAGGATTGACTGTGTTGGTTTTTTTGGTTTACTGAGGTATTGATTAAAAAATAATATGCAAACTGTATGAATCTGCATAGCAGATTTTAAAAATATTGCATATCAGATTTTCGATTCATACCTCAATGACACCCCAAAAAATACAGTGAATCCTAATATTTAAATTGGGCAGTGAAAAACTATGATATCTTCAATAGTTTCATCTAAACAATTATATAAGTCAAAGTGACAGAAATTACGAGATTAATAACATTCCAGGCCAGGGAATATCTACAGTGGCGTGAAGTGTATCAAACCATTGTTTAATTTATGCACATAATTTGACACACCCACAGTATCCAATCAGTGTCCAATCAATAGAGAGTATTATCAAAACAAAGTTCACGGGACCTGTCAACCATGGAACAGGCAAACGAACTACAACCGTTAGACTGTAATGAACCAGAACAGATATGTCACGAAGAAAGCCGCTATTTTAATTGAGATGGCCAGTAATATATGGAAATATGTTCACACATACACTGCCAAATTCTTGTGTCATTTGTGTAACCCAGACAAGCACTAAAAACCCAATAACATGCCAGTGAGCCTGCAGGTGTGTTTTTTCATTCATTCCTGGCTTTGAGGAGGATCCTGAATATGTATAAATAGCGATAATATGTCCTGTGCACGTCCCTTGTCTGTAAATGGGATTATCTGACAATCTGTAGTGGAAAGTTGTTCACTTTGATGTGTGTGGCTAAATCTTGACATTAACGGGGAAATGAATGCAATAACATGTGACCAGTTCAGCCAGTCAGAATGTAAGAATTACAATGAACACACTGAAAATTTAATCATAGTTTTGTAAACAGAAAATGTTATGTAAGTGCAATAAGTTCAGCTAACCAACTTCACTGGCCGACATATAGTGATGTCATTTGATTGTGATGTCATAGTTACCGATGATGTCACCATTGGCCTGCAATACATTGATGTGCAATTTCTTTGTTGCAGTATCTCAAGAAATATCACCTGTGGTAGTTGTGTTAGCTCCTGAAATCATTATCCTGGAATGTGTAAGATCAAAAGAATCAATTTTGGTGTATTAGTGTTTCATTTGAAATATTTAGCAGCAGTTCGAGTTTGTGAGGTTATAGACTCTCCTCTGTCTGTCCAGGACTGATTGGACTGAAATATTATTACTGTAAGGGTGAGCTTCTCCATCTTCACTTCAAGTGTCTAACAACTGGGATGTCTGACAAATGGTGTATCACCCTGTATTTCCTCAGCTGGCTCAATAAAGTGTCAGCAAACACACTGATGTTGAGAAATACTTGTACAAGCGAGTCCGGTAATTCCGAGCATCCGGTAATTCTGCGCAGCTGCAATAGCGTACTTCCGTATCAAGGTAAACATCGTCTGCTACCACATTTACGCTTGAAATCGGGACATTTCTATAAGGGACTGGCTTTTAATCACTAAAGGTAAGTAAATAACAGTAATTGACAGATAAATTGACAGTTTTATGAAAATTTGTTTTCATCGGACTTTTAAACCTTTTTCTTCATTATTCATAATTGGATTTAATATGAAACACTCTTCCTTACATTGCTGAAGTGAATTTTGAAAATAATCTGGCCCTAATACGCTTCCATACTTCGGATCTCCAGCTGGATGTTATGCGCATCAGTTGCTGTGCAGAATTACCGGACAGCAAGCGATGTCGTCAGAACGCCGGTAAGGTCAACCATATGGCATAATGTACCGTTAGAATCTTATAATCGTCAATAAAACTTATATTTCTAGGTAAATATGATGCATACCAGCATGTTTAGTCACGTAAACCACAAAAAATAAGAGACGGTAGTTGCCGTGTTGCGATCGATGTGCTTAGGTGCGCGGAATTACCGGTCGGCATTGTACATGATTGGAGGATGTCTACACTGGTATGTGTGGTAGCTGTGATCCCGATTCACTCACTCACTGACATTGTTGACGATTACTCAGAGATGTGGTTTGAGTAACAGTATGTAAATATAGACCTATACACCTGGAGAAATGTTAAGCACATACCCTTTATATTTTCTTAAGTTCTTAATTTCCATGTGCCTTTTGGAATGTTTCCTGATTGCATTCATTCTGATAAATCTTTTAGACATCGCCACTGATGGCTGGTGAAATGCAAGTACAAGAACAATGGATGCTCAGTCACATGGTTGTATGTGCTCAGTCTTACCTCGCGATACAGTAGCCGGGAGCAGAAGGAAACGTAGCCAAATAACTGTTTCCATGGAAACTGTGTCATTAGATAGTAGGTCCAAATGAGTAGTAGATCCACTTCATTATCAAATGAATTTTGTCAGAAAATTAGTAGAAGACACAACTTTTTACACTGTGTATCATAAACTGATAATAGCAAGTGGTGCTTATGCTTTTCCAGGCGTATATATTCCAAGCAATATGATATGAAGAGAAACGAAACTCAAAAGAAATAAAAAGAACATGAAAGAAAGTGATTTATGAGTTGCAGAAAGTGATATATACACATGTTCATTTCATCTTGTAGACACAAAAGTTCACAACTATTTAACAAGAGTGGACAAGCAGCTAAATGAAACAATTACTCGGTAAGCTGCAGGGAAATCTATGTTCTACCTGTTGCTTCACTACAGGTACACCTTTTGTAATATTATCACCATGCCAACACATCACACCAGTACATAACTTCCATGAAATGGTGTATGGTGAAATGTTGACTGATTTTGATTATATATTTAAACCTATCGCTAAGTTCCGACATAGATGTCACACACTGATTGCCATCCTAGGTACCCAGTGTCTTTTACGGCCATTCTTTTTGGACAAATGCAGATGAAACATTTTCCATGTGTGAGTTTTTTTATGTTCAATTCAAATAGCTTGGCTCCAATATCCTCCTAATTTAGATGAAATGCAGAGTTTGAATAGGAGCATTGGAGCTGGTGATGTCACTTCAGAACCAATGGTGGCTGATGTGTAAGGTATTTATCAGAATGAGTGAGTGAGTTTAGATTTATGCCGCACTCAGCAATATTCCAGCTATATGACGGTGGTCTGTAGATAATTGATTCTGGACCAGACAATCCATTATCAGAATGACATGGAGATACTCTACACTGTACCTTATGTGGCATCGCCTTATTCTTACACGACACCTGGTGTTGTCATTCCCATTTGTTAGTGTGGATGCCTAAATTTGATATTGCTATCTATTTGGACTCATTTCACTCTTTAAAACAATGAGCAATTCCACCCAGTGCTCCCCAGTTGTTAATCATATGTGTAGGCCCCCTCACATTAACATATGACCAGCGGACCACAACTTTTAGTTTAGATTGCATTCCTATAGCTGAACATTTTGCCTGATTAATCAAAATAAAAAAATTATATATTCTAAGCTTAAGCCTATGAATAATAAATGAAGATGTGATAATGTGTAAAGGTTTACTGCTATGAGTTTACATACCATCAAACAGTCATACACACAAATATTGAATGCACTGAACAGGTCCATATATGCATATATAAAGTGCATTTAGTAACAACCTTATGCCAAGCTTCGTATAAAGGTACACAAATAGCCACCCATTTGGTATAAAACTTGACCACAACACTCACAAGATAGATATCCTGGTAAGGATTCATACACCCTCGATTGTCCAGGGTAATACGTCTTCATTATATTAGAATAAATACCCTGGACCCACTCATCAGAACTGTGACGTCACTATAACAGTTCTCCTATCCAAGCTGAATAGTCCAGAACAGAACTTCTGTGGTGTCCTTATCCTCAGCTGTCTTATCCTAGCTAAATAGTACAGAACAGAACTTCTGTTACAATGCTATTCTCAACTGCCCTATCCTAGCTAAATAGTACAGATCAGAACTTCTGTCACGTCCCAATCCATAACTGTCCTATCCTAGCGAAGTTTTACAGAACAGAACTTCTGTGATGTCCTATCCCCTTATCCTCAACTGTCCTATCCTAGCTAAATAGTACAGATCAGAACTTCTGTGTATGTATCCATAACTGAACTTCTGTACAGAACAGAACTTCTGTGGCCTGCTTATTCTCAACTGCCCTATCCTAGCTAAATAGTACAGAACAGAACTTCTGTGATAATGCTATTTTCAACTGCCCTATCCTAGCTAAATAGTACAGATCAGAACTTCTGTCACGTCCCAATCCATAACTGTCCTATCCTTGTGAAGTTTTACAGAACAGAACTTCTGTGGCGTCCTTATCCTCAGCTGTCCTATCCTAGCTAAATACCGGTAGTATAGAACAGAACTTCTGTGACACTGCTATTCTCAACTGCCCTATCCTAGCTAAATAGTACAGATCAGAACTTCTGTCACGTCCCAATCCATAAGTGTCCTATCCTTGCAAAGTTTTACAGAACATAACTTCTGTGACATCCTTGTCCTCTGCTGTCCTATCCTAGCTAAATAGTACAGAACAGAACTTCTGTGACGCTGCTATTCTCAACTGCCCTATCCTAGCTAAATAGTACAGATCAGAACTTCTGTCACGTCCCAATCCATAACTGTCCTATCCTTGCTAAGTTTTACAGAACAGAACTTCTGTGGCGTCCTTATTCTCTGCTGTCCTATCCTAGCTAAATAGTACAGAACAGAACTTCTGTCACGTCCCAATCCATAACTGTCCTATCCTTGCACAGTTTTACAGAACAGAACTTCTGTGACATCCCAATCCTCAACTGTCCTATTACGTACTGGAGTGAAATATCAATCTAAAAATGTAAGTGTCCCATTCTATCAAAGCAAATGGGTCCTGGGTATTTATTGTAAAGGAATGGCGATGTAGTACCCTGGTAACCGAAGATGAGATTGATGGAGATGTGTATTTACACCTGGCTTGTGTCAGTGTTCAGATTTGTCCTGTTTTCTTCTCCATCCTCATCAATGCTGGCCGCCATGCATCGACACCGCCGCAGGAATCGGACCCAGAGTTTGTGCACAGCACGATGTACGACACTGTCCATGCAGATGATGACTTGTGGGTAAATTATTGTTTGTATTGTGGACAGGGCAAGCGTACACGTGGTGATGTTGATGTATGCGATGGTAGATAGATGGTTTCGTAGTACTTCGGTCAGGAATAGGGGGAGAGTGCACAGACAGAAGGTCACAGACAGAAGACATGACAGTTTAGTGAAACTAAGAGTCAGGTCAGTTGTGGAATCATTGTCAAAGCTGTGAAGACTCTCATGATCACTGACATGTGATTCTTCAGACATGTGTGGAAGTTTGAACTTCAAGGTTGTCTTGTCCTTCTCGCTCCCATCTTCAACACTCTCGTGTTCCGACCGTGTATCCACCTCCTCCTTCTCTGTGCCCTCATCGTCTGACACGGTAATCAGCGGCAACATCGGGCGAACATCGTTCTTCACATCCTCACTTTCTCCCTTTTCTTCTTTCTCATCAAATTTCAACACTGGGGTCTTCAAGGGCAGCGACCTTTTTGAGAATTATTGCGAGACTTGGATTGCAAATCCGTGTCAGACTGAAATGGCGCTTTTCCACTGAATAATTTTGGATTTTCCAGTTGAGCCTGTAGGGCCGATATATCCACTGAGAACTTTCTAACATAATTGTACTTTTTAGCCTTCTCAGCAGGATCCATGAAATTAGTACTGGAGTCACCAATCTGACAGATTGTGTGACGCCGCCGGCCCAGGATCTGGGTCATGTTCACACCAAGCATGTTTTTATTTTTGGGTGATATGGGCATAGGTCCATCTCTGGCTGGTCCCCCAGCAGCATTGATGGCCAGGAGGGGCAGAGGGGAGGCTGCATGGACTGATGGGGTGTCTTCCGACTCATCTTCAGATGGGTTGCCTTCTGGGTCTCGTATCAGAAGAGTCGGGAACTTGATGTTTACATCCGCTATTGCTGTTGCCATGGAAACCTCCAGAATGCTTTTTGTGTATTATTGCACTGAAGATTACACACAACAAGATGGCTAGAACAAGAAACGTAAAGATTCCAAGAATCACCACTTTCATGCAAAAGGAACGGCTATTGAAGACGACAAAATACTCCGACACATGGGTTTCATACTGTATGGACACGACCAGGTATGAGCCAGCCAAACACAGGCCAATGATTACAGCTGTAATGCATCCAGTAATAGACCAAACTTTCTGAAACATCTTCCCCATGTGACTGCACTGTCGGAAGATATTCTCCGCAGACACAAACACAATGGTGACAGCCATAATGACGGACAACAACAGGTACATCCCGTGTACAAATATCTTGAAGTACTGGCTGGGGTTCTGATACGTGTAGTGGTAGTACAGCAGATGAAGAATCTCCTGTGGAGTCCACACCAGGTCCAGCATCAGACAGGCAAACAGCAGGACCAGGATGACGGAGTAGCTGAGTTTGTGGATGGACTTGCCTGCCAAGATGGCGCAGATGACCGTTAGGCTGCCCCCTCCTCCTCCAATGGCGGCCAGCAACAGCGTTGTTACCGACAACACCACCGAGTACGCCTCTAGTTTGGTTTCTTGATGAAGGGTTTCATTGAATCCCATATCGGTGGCCATTTTGTACAATCTATACTCCGAGAATTGGCTCTTCAACTGGCATTGGCTTGTTTACCTGTAAAGCAGAAATATTGACAAAGTTTGATGTTTATCAACAGAATGGGATAGTGGCACTGAATCTACAAGTATGATATAAACAATGGTGAAATGTTTTCAATATATCGGTAGCACAAAACAGTTATTACATATTGCCAGGGTAACATTGCTCATCATGAATTGTTGAAATTCCTTTTTTAATGCCAGCTCATTTCTGTTGAAGATATTTCAAGAGACCTGTGAGGAGATCCAATGATTGCTGCCACTGCATCAAGTGATAATGGCTCCAAACAATTTCAAAGACTCCAGCTATCACACTGTTTCAAAGATTAGGCAAACTTACTCAGGTGCCTAGAACTATATGTTAGTTCCTGCTTCTAACATAAGAATCAACTTTGATAAGGAATTTCCCTGACCAACCCACTGTTATTAACAAGGGGTATGGTACATTATATTCAACAGGACAAATCTCGACAAGATCTGGAACCTGCATGAGCTGAGGGAGTGTTTATACCAGTCTGTTGATTTGTTGGATACAGTTTTTGTCCTGTCAAATCCTTCCAAATCTGTGACGTAGGTTCAGAGTTAATGCTCATTTAACAATAGAGCAATTTACCCCACATGGGACTAGTTGGGCAAAGGAGTGAATCATTGAAGTGTTATGGCAAATGTCAAGGCAGATAAACAGAGACCTGAATAGGAAATCTGAACAAATAGGTTAGTAATTGCATTACAAGTCCTCAGGGTAACACATGGCATGATACATGGGCCATGAAAGTAAACAGACTTATTGTATGTTACTGCTTGAATGTACGATGGATGGATGGATGGATGGGTGGGTATGGATGGATGGGTGGGTATTGGATGGATGGATGGGTGGGTGGGTATTGGATGGATGGATGGATGGGAACTTAAAGACATACAATTATTTTCTCTGAATAAAAAGTGTCTTGACCACCAACTCATCATTTCATAGAACATCCATGTCCAATTAGATTTATTTTGTAGATTAAAACTTTCTGAGGTGCATGCTTGGTAATACTGGAACTGTCTGTATACACCACAGTGATGTCATCTGTTTAGAAACACAATAATGATGTCATCCAATTGAATACATACTCAAGAGTAATTTTGTCCAGGATAGCTTCAGCACCCAAGGATGATGTCATCCAATTGTTTACAAACATCTTAATGATGTTTCAATAATGATGAAGTGTTTTCACAAATAATATCATTGTCTTTTTAAACTGATCATGGAACCACTGAACCCACTTTCATCAATAATGGAAGTAAAACACATCCAAAACATTTGATGATTTCTCAGCATTGAAATCCTTAACACTAATACAAGCTCGATTTTGCCAAAGGTTGAGCAATGGGTGGTTTTGTGTAGATTAAATCCCGACTTTGTCCCTTCCTTCCTTCACTAAGTCCCCCCACAGAGCCATCATTCAGTGCACTCTTTGTGTTGAGGCTGAGGATGTTTCTTAAATTCCTTCTTAGTTCTCACTTGCAAGCAAAATCTCTTGTCCATGAAATAGAAAAATGTTTGTCTAAAATTAGGATACAATGTTATTTTTCTGAAGAATTTTCAGAGTGTTAATGGCTAAGCATTAAATATACCTAGTTTATTCCTAATCCTCTTAAACAATGACATCAGCTTTGAAATTACCAACACACTGCTTTCTGTGAACTGTTGTCTGTACAAACAGTTGACCTTTGAGTGAAGATACTTGCTTTGATAATGTTAACGTAAGAGGTACGTTGCCATAGCAGCATAAATATTGTCAGCAGCCCTACACTGATAAATCAGCTGATGATGCCAATAGTCTTATAAACTTGTAGGGCGGTGTGTTTCAATGCAGAATGATTGCCTTCATAACTGGGTTTTATAGAGGTGCAATAGCCTTCAATCAGTGGCTACATACGCCTTGATGACACTGGCACTCTGGCTCCCAACAGCAGGGTTGACTGCCATGGGTGTCTGTGACAGGGATTGCAGTGTACACGAGAGTATGTCAGGCACCGTGCTCTGTGATGTATGGCTCGAGAAGGGCTTCTTCACAGGCTCTGATTATACTCTTGGATTCTTTTCCTTTTTTACCCTTTCCTTGAAAGAGATAACCTAACGATGGATGGCTTTCATCTGTTTTGTTAGTTGATGGTGTTATGCCCACCTTTCTTTCAGTGAAATGGTTTCCGTACTTATAGGCAAATGATTTTGTTAAGTAACCTAGTCCGCGAGACGACAGTGAGAGAGGGATTCTGTGAGAAGCATCACAACATGAAGGGAATGGATAGTGTACATTTGAAATGTCGCCATATGCCTCGGGCTTCCTGTTTTCAGTCATACAAGGACAACTAAAAGTTTCAATGATTCTGCCATTTATCATCATCATGCTAGCATTATTTAGTTAAATATTTTGTGTATTAGAACATGTGTTTTTATCAACTATTTATCTAGTAATACAGTCGCTGAAAATTGTAACAATTTCTTATCTGGATGGAATCCACCTTATACATGTTTGTATCAAACATCTGTACTTCAGGTCAGTCAATTCCATGAACTGTAAATGGACACAGATACCCTAAACAGTAGGTTCAGAATGGAGATAAAAAAGTATAAACAATTAAATGACCCCTTCACATTTGTTCAAATTCTGCTGAAAGTCATGTAACTGATTTGTTGTGTCCTTTTGGTTGTTTTCCTTCAGATAAGTATAGTTTTATAACATTTCACCAGGTAGTGTTACGGTATCAGGTTTACACAGGTGTTGTGGAGCAAGGGTTGTCTTGGACAAGGACACTGGATATGCCTGTGGTGCCATTAAAGAGAGGAAACCATTGTAACATAATCATTTAATGGAGGTTGCATGGTGTGACAACATTGACGGAATCAGCTCAGGGCACAGCTGTCTATTTTACAAGCCCTCACTAAGCATTATGTATCTGTCTGTTTTATGTGTACATCAAAGCATTTCCAAGGTTGCTTGAAGAACACAGAAAGAGCTATTTATGGAAACAAATGACAGCAAATAGAATTCATATGAGAATAAGAAAGCCTTATCCTCTAGTGGAAGCTATTTATACCATGTTTATATCTGTTTATGAAAGCTTTTGCACCAACACTTTTTGATAATTTTAAATATGAATCTATAAATAGCAAAGACCTTTGAAAGATACTATTTATGATGTCTGTAGGTATATTTTTGTAGATGAATTCATTAGATCCAATATGCCCTCAGGGTTGTATTGACTACATTGTTACATGTAGATTACATATTGAGATATACATCATCACCAATGAGGCTTGTCGGCAGATTGATCTACAGCCATTGTTTATGATGCCCTTATAAAGGATACCCTGTGGTCTGAAATACACTCAAGGGCACCAATCATTTTTCTCTCTTGTATTTTTTTAAATATCAAGGAAATGTACTTCCTGTTGCTGAGTGCAGCACTGAACACCAATGCAGTTGACGTGGTACACGCTGGTCTATATAGGTGTGGCGTGATTAGCCATGTGAAACAGTGGAGGTACTTCCTAGTATTTTCAGGCCAGGAACTTCTGTACTTGTATATATACTCAAAGGCAAAAATTATTGTGACACATGTGCTGCATTCAACTTAGTGAAAAAGTAAATGTGACTCATCGATGAAGAAAACTCTTTTCCACTAATTTTTTCCCCATTGCAAATGTTGTCTGTTCCATAGGAGACATTGACATCAATGTTCTAGCTCCAGAATTGGCCATTCTCATGATCTCAAGATCACCAGTGAAAAATTTCCATGTTGCAATACCTTTTGCCTCTCAGTAGATTTGGAAAATCTGAGTCAAAATTGTTAAAACTCACTCACCCACTCACTCACTCAAGCATTGATTATATGGGGACCAACCGTAACCAGGCCATTGTTTTATGACTTGAAATCTGCTGACTGCCAATCACTTCCAATCACCTACTCCAGCCTAAACTGCTGCCTGAGTTATTAGAAGCATCTGGTTTATGGAGTTAGTTGAAACATACAATGACGGAGCTCACAGCTTGCCTTCTGCTTGACGTGGACCGCATGGCCATATGAAATACAAGCACACACATTGGCCTACGTGGGCTTCGTTAAGAGGATGTTGGATGGCTTGTGTCATCAATCATAGGAGAACTAATTAGATCACTGTCATTGTTTCTCACCACTAACGATGTGAATTCAACAGTTGCATTAATTTCATTTATGTCCCTGTGTCTCTTTCCAAAACATTGATTTTCTGTGTGTCCAAGCGAAAGGTAACAAATCTGATATTGTGCACTTCTTGCTGTGACTGATTTTGTTTGATGATGTGTCAGGAGTGTTAGTATTTGGTAATTAATGTGTTATTACAAATTACGGATGTAGAAAGAAATATGGAATGTGTCCACAAGGCTGATTTACCGATTTTCACAAAGATTTATTCATGCTGGATCCTTATCAAGTTTTTTATCAAGGATTATATTTGTAGGAGGTGACAATCATTTTGATGAAACAATTTTATTGCAAGCGATTCAGTTTGATCACAGTCCTGCTATTAGTTTGATTTTCTCTTGAAGTCAAAACATCTTTGCAACATCTTTTAACTATTCCTCAATGGAGAAAGCACTTTAATTGTTTTTTCTATCTTCCAACGAGATATTTCAGCTCAAATGTTTCAAGAGTTATCAATCTGTAACAAAATGAGTTTTCTCTATGTGTACTGATAAAAATCGTGTCATTCCTAACTTAATACTACATGTCAACCTGACTGATCCATCACGTGTGAACCAAACTCTCTCTGATTGTGTCACGACGTTCTTCATCTCCATCCAACCTAACCAGCATCGTGATTTAGCTGAATGGAAATGTTTCTGTGCCTGGAAATATTAATTTAGTATCAATATGCAGACATCTGTATGGACAAAGTATTAACATTCAAATTGTATGATTACATTGGTACCATGATATCCGGGCCCTAATCTCCATCACAGCAGTATGAACAGAAGGGATCCTCATTGAAATCTCCTTGATAAATGAAAATGCTGAAATCAATGATGTGATGAATCTAATGTGTATCTGCAGCATCTAAATGCTTTCAAAAGACATTTATTTTATTTGCGTGATTACAAGATCATTTGTCATAGTAAAAGACAGGATTTTCAGCTTTGCCTGACTTAATCATTACCCCATGTGTGTTGGTGACAAGGTGCATAAATCAAACTTTCTGTCCTGATTCAAATGTATAGAATTAACTGATACGTCAACATGATCAGTATCTCAATGTACAGAAAGCTCTTGTAGCCTGGTACTTGTCATAAGCAAACTATATGCATCGGGCATCAGAGATCGACAAGGATGGTGAGAAGTCTCAAGAACTGCGGTTCCTAAGCTCATTGTCATCTACATCATCAACAACAGCATATGTTGCTCACAAGTATTTTGTTGACATTTCTTTGGATGATTGTTGATAAAAAGATTGTTAGGACATTTTTGTCTACAGAAGCCTGGTTTTAGGGGAATTCTTTCATGTTTAGTTTCATTATGGTCAAAAACGTTTGAAGGACATTTATATTTGTACTGCTCGGATATTGTGCTCAGTGTATGATGTACAACTTTAGGTTAGAGGACATATAGTATAGGGCTGATTCATAAACTGTTAGCTCTGCCATATTTGTGCAAATTGGGAAAGAGATATTCATAAACATTATTTGTCATTTGGAATTGTTCATTCATACATACAAGAGTTTGGTAGAAATTAAGGAATCTGGTATTTTAGGTTATGAATAAAGACACAATCAATTCATTTTATAGTTCTAATCACAATACACATATTTGTTGTGAAAAACACTTAGTTTGGACAATGCTTTCTCTTCAGGATTGACAATAAATATCTGACCTGTTAAGGGGAGTCCAGATAAAGCACAGCTCATCAAGGGCGGCCGCTGGAGTGGGCAGGGAGAGGGGGCAGTATTGATGTTCACAACATGCATTGCTGGGAAGCACTGATGCATGATTTATAATCCACTTCCTGCCACTGATAATTTTGTTGTCACATAAAACAGCTAGCTGCCAATATATCGTGATGTCGTGAGGTTGCTGACTCTTGGTTCGTTCCACATAGGGTTCGACTAAGGATAGCTATTGTTTGTGTTTGTCATAGCCACAAGCTTCTGTTTTGCTAAATTATGTGCTTTTTGAGTTCTTTCCTCACTTTTACCTTATGAATGGGCTCTAATTTGAAAAAAAGTCAAACAATTAACATGCAAAAATCTTTGAAAATAAATATTCCTAATTGTATCATTAATGAAGGTGTTTGTAGTGTGGAAAAATAATTTTCTGAGAAAAATTTAATTGCCCATGATTTTGTTCTGCGTTTCTACGTTTCTGTACTTATTTTTGTCAGCAAAGTTCTGCTGGTAGTTAGAGCCAGTGGGTTGGGTTCAGGTGTCTCAAAGTGTGAAATGTTAAGTCCTTTTCTTGAGTCCATATACCAGGACAGTGTTAACCACTCACTCTCACTCACTCACTCACTCACTCACTCACTCACTCACTCACTCACTCACTCACTCACTCACTCACTCACTCACTCACTCACTCACTCACTCACTCACTCACTCACTCACTCACTCACTCACTCACTCACTCACTCACCCACCCACCCACTCACTCACTCACTCAGCTGCCTACGAACCCAGGTTTCTACCAGTTAATGTATATGGACTCTAATTACAACAAAGTCCAGCAGTTCATTATCAAAATAGGACAGACATATCACTTGTAGAATCACTTACATTGTACAAGCACTTACAATGAGGAATCTCAGGTTCAGTCGCCTTAAGTGCAACTATACAGAGTTATGTCCCTTAAAGCCAGAAACCCCTGGGTTTGAATCCGAGATTGACTTGTCAGCTTTACAGTCATACTCGTGGGTTTCACTGACTAGGCGATGTTTGAAGGCCTCCATGAATTTAACTACCTCAAAACTGTACCAGCTCAATACATTGTGGTGAACAAAATCAATTCTTTTCTGAGACTATGTTTTACTACGACCAGTGACATTGCCTGTTAACATCAATTCATAGATTTCTGTTGAGGAAGAAAAGCCAGGATTCAAGTTGAAGAATGACTCTCCCTTGAAAAAGTGCTTGGCTGTTTTATCCTGATTCTCATATTGACTCGAACAAAATGGCTGGCACATAGATTAGAAATCTATTGCTGTTACGCTGTGATTACCAGTATCTCATTCAGTGGTCCTTCAAGGTACTTTGTTGCTATTTGCCAAGCTCGACTCTGCTGAGCTTCATGGCAGTAAATATGTCTGCCTAGACTTGCTTCAAGCATTTGTTCCATGAAAGTCAGAGCACCTGTTAGCTGAATGTTGATTCATTCATGTTTTTATTTCTTGTAATTGTGTCAGTTGCACCTGAAGACTACCTTTATATAGAATGAAGTGTTTACAACATGTTCAGCCAATTGTTAACGTGAAGCATGCTGTTTATTTATGTTTTCAATGTCTAGTATCTGTGTGTGATATGGTTGATAATCTGATCAGCTGAAGATGTTATCCACCATGGAGGTGAAGTGGTTGATAAACTGATCAGCTGAGGATGTTATCAACCAGGGAGGTGATATGGTTGATAATCTGATCAGCTGAAGATGTTATCCACCAGGGAGGTGAAGTGGTTGATAAACTGATCAGCTGAGGATGTTATCCACCAGGGAGGTGATATGGTTGATAATCTGATCAGCTGAAGAAGTGGTTGATAAACTGATCAGCTGAAGATGTTATCCACCAGGGAGGTGAAGTGGTTGATAAACTGATCAGCTGAGGATGTTATCCACCAGGGAGGTGATATGGTTGATATACTGATCAGCTGAGGATGTTATCCACCAGGGAGGTGATATGGTTGATAAACTGATCAGCTGAGGATGTTATCCACCAGGGAGGTGATATGGTTGATATACTGATCAGCTGAGGATGTTATCCACCAGGGAGGTGATATGGTTGATATACTGATTAGCTGAAGATGTTATCCACCAGGGAGGTGATATTGTAGATAAACTGATCAGCTGAGGATGTTATCAACCAGGGAGGTGATATGGTAGATAAACTGATCAGCTGAGGATGTTATCCGCCAGGGAGGTGAAGTGGTTGATAAACTGATCAGCTGAGGATGTTATCAACCAGGGAGGTGAAGTGGTTGATAAACTTATCATCTGAGGATGTTATCCACCAGGGAGGTGATATGATTGATAAACTGATCATCTGAGGATGTTATCCACCAGGGAGGTGAAATGTTGGAGATAAATTTCAGTTGCAGATGTTATTCGCTAAAAGGTATTATGATGGATAAATATATCAGCTGAAGATTTTATCCACCAGAGAAGTGATATGGTGAATGAAATGTTTAGCCAAAGCTGTTATCCACAAGGCAGTTGATATGATGGATACACTGTTTAGGTGAGGGTGTTATCTTTCAGGGAGCATGATAAAGAATTCAGCTATGTGTATGATGTATTTTAGACAGTATAGATAGTGATCTTCCTGTTTGCAATATTTTGGGACAGTAAAATGAAGTTGGGATGGGATGGGATGGGATGGGATGAAAATCTGATAATTATTATCATGGACTAATAAAGAAAACACTGCTCTCAGTTATGTTGGCTGACAAATATTTCTCAGAATTTACGGGTCAGATGGTAAAATGTTAGGACTGTTTGAATTCTGTTTTCCATATCAGCCAGCAATCAGTGGAGTCTTGGTGATGATGAAATATGGTAACAGATTGTGCCATCATCACTGTCCTCTACTTGACCACTCAGTGTGCAGTATGTTTTGTTTCATTTGACTGGATGTAACCTTGACAAGCAAAAACAGGAATGATACAATACTTATTTTGGAACTAAACACATAAATCTGAATAAATGTAAACTTTTTGTCTGCAGCAGCTTGCAGACTGATGCATCTCCAACACATTCCATCATTCCATACAAATGGTAATACACAGGGCATCTGTTCTTCCTGTTTTTGTGGTGAATTCTATTGAATTGTTAGCTTATCAATGTTATGTTCGGATTATCTATTGAATCAAATTCAATAGTCTGAATCATTTATTTAGCAATATTTTAACATTTTCTCTTAGAAAACATTAAATTTATCTAATCTGGAACAATGCTGATTTTTCATGCTGAAGCAAATACCTTGTAATTGTTGTTTTCTAATTATGGTTGTAATGTTTTAACATTTCAATTGTTTTTTGTGACACATCTGTAACTGTATCAAATGAATGAGTGAAAGGATCATTGTTAAATCTGAGGTGATATTCTTTAAAAATCTCTGAAATTATTAAATTTCTAAATAATAATAATATAGGTTCAACAATAAACAGAAGAAAATTGCTGCAATATCAGGCATTGAATTAGCGACTTACTTAAACACTGTGGTATCCCATTCCGTGGAAGCCCCGAGTTCCGAGCGTCCTGCCTTGCTAACTGTCTCCCATGTCTGCGACGACTCGAGCCTGAGACTCGTTAGACCGGTCAGCGTTGTCAGTGGCACTGTGCTGTCACTGTACGTGTATCTATGCAAATCTGTCGTCAATTCAACTGGTGGGAAAACCTATACAGCTGTCACTCGCTATGCATTTGTCGATCCTGCATTCAACCAAGATTGTTTTCCCAATGTTTCAATATTTCCTCACGGAACTGTTTTGTCCAAGGCTGTCAATATCGAAGGCAGGTGGCCCTCGCCGGTGGGATCTCACCCCAGCCTGTGATCGGCAAAGCAAGTAATTCCAAGCTTTGGCTCACTGATGTTAATTGACATGGTGACCAAAGAAATGTACGATCACGCACACCCATACTTCTCTAACCATGCTTGTTCATGTGCAGAATCAAGATGTTCAAACTGAAAAAGAACAAACATGTTTTGTAGTTTACTGCTAATGATTTAGTGTGTTCTCTCTCATTCTTGAAAAAAAATCAATTTCTACACTCCTTTGAAAACCAGCGTGACTATCTAAAAAACCCAACCCAAAACATGCCAGGAACCTTTTTAATGATGTTTCAACAGAAAAAATGAAAATAATGTAGAAATCTTGAGTTGTTATTTTTTTAGGGGGATTGTACTTGAAACCTGAAACAGGATGTTTAACATGAAGTGAGAATGGTATTGGGTGAGACTTACGTTGAGGCTGTTGTTGTCACTATGGAAACACAATTTTATAAATGAAAGATTGCTGACAATTTGAGCGCAAAGCTAAGGATGAGAAACATGTAATGTTTAGAACAGTGAGTGAGTGAGTGAGTTTAGTATTATGCTGCTTTAATACTATTCCAGCAATATCACTGTGGGGTAACCTGAAATGGGCTTCACACTTTGTACCCATGTTTAGAACAACGATGGAGAAAGTGAATTGTATTGAATGAAATGCCTGTAACAGTAGAAGAACTTGTGTGAACAGACATGCTGTACCTGTGTTATTGTGAATCATTTGAATATTCTTGCTGTTCATGCTCTCACTGAATTGTCAACAAACCTACCACTGAACCCCAGGGGGTTGGTCATGGCTCACAATGTCAAGTCACGGCATTATCTGGTCCAGACATGATTATTTACACACTGATGTGCAATTCCTGGAGCATCGTTAAGTGTGGCATTAGACAACAAAGAAAGAAAGTGAGGTGTAATTATTGATCTACAATCACTGACAACAATAAATTGATAATGTTTCAAGAGATCAATGGCTGACATAGCTGAAGCTCCACATTCTCAATATAAATAAGTGTATAAAAAGGATATTGCCATGGTTGTTAAGTTTTTCTTTGTTTTGTACATGATATGCTTTTCTGAAAGATACATTTAGGAATCAATTGAGAAACTGTTTGCAAAGCTGACGTCCGGTTACTATCCTTTTCAGGGTACTGTCTTTATCAGGGTACCATCTTTGTCAGGGTACCATCTCTTTCAGGGTACCATGTTTGTTAGGGTACCATATCTTTCAGGGTACTATGTTTGTTAGGGTACCATCACTTTCAGGGTACCATCTCTTTCAGGGTACCATCTTTGTCAGGGTACCATCACTTTCAGGGTACCATCACTTTTAGGATACCATATCTGTCAGGGTACCATCTTTGTCAGGGTACCATCATCAAGCAATTGTATTAATCAGGGTACCATCCATATTGGGGTACCATCTCAGTCTGATGAACAGCCATCGGGATGACCCGTGACAGTTCCTACCAGAATTTACTAACATGATTTAAAATCATAACAAAATTGACAGATTTATATTTTAACCTGTTCTTAACCTCGTTTAACCCATATGTGAAGGCCCAATTATACGTTTGACAAATTGAAACATCATCTTTTGTTCAGTTCAGATGTTCAACCAATAAACCTGTTGTAATGACAATGTTTTGATGGTACAGATGAAAACTGGAGATTGATTCCCCAGATGGGTAGAATGCGTCAAGCCTTACTACAGTGCACTGCCTTCACTTGAATACTGAAAGATGTGTTAAACCAAATTTACTCAATCAAATTCCACCCAATGACACTATCAGCCCAAACTCTTATCTGGCGCCATTAAATTTAGCGGAATCCCCAGGCTTTCAACTGTCGTGGTTAATATGCAGATACTATGATACAACAGATGAAGACTTGTGATGATGTGTTCATTTTGTCCTGTACCGATTCCCTCCACAATGTATTCCCTGGCTGGCACATGTGACCCCGTACCAAAGTCAGCCAGTGGCAGCCATGGTTGGGGCTGTATTGATCTATCTGTGTTTGTGGTAATCGTACAAGCAAAAGCTTGGTGTTTTTACAATCAGTTATTGATCAGGATTTCTTCACCCATGTCTAAATGTTTTTCTAATGTCAGTGAAGTTTTTGTCTGTTTTCGTTTGAAAATGTCAACAGTGTTGACAGAGGCATCATACGATGAAGGTTTATTTTTTATTCTTCAGTACAAGATTGGAGCTTTTTCAAATGCAGTAATGCCCCTAATAAATGTCAATTAGCATCTAATTCTGTCCACTGTCTATTGGTACTATAAAAGAAATGTGCATCAAACCGTAAAAAATGATAGGTTTCAGAACGCAACTTGTAACGACATTTTAGACATTTAGTAGCCAAATGAATCTTGCTGGCACAGGACAATTTGTATTAAGTTATTAGGTGGTGGAATTTTCAATCAAATATTTTCCTTTTATTTTTCTGATGAATAGATTTCATCAACTGATGGGCTCAAAAGAGAGAAGTGGGATGTTGTTGTACCTTTAAGATTTGTTTGTTTGACGTGTAATGGGTTTTTGGATGACCCAGTTTCCTATGAGTTTAGTTTTACGCCACTTGTAGCAGTATTCCAGTAATATCATGTTGGGGGACACCAGAAATGGGCTTCACATATTGCACCCATGTGGGGAATCAAACCCGGGTCTTCGGCATGATGAGTCAACACTTTAGTCACTAGGCTACCCCCCAACCCCAGTTTTCTCAGAGACTGAAAATGTCGCTGAATATGATCCCTGGCTTGTCAGCTCCAAAACAGTGTTTTTGTGCCCAGAGTGGCAAGTGTCCAGGGTGCCATTGTACCAAACAACCTTAGAGCTAAGGCTACCTTAAGTCTATGTTATGGTATGGGAGTTACGGCCACCTTAGCGCTAAGATCGCTTTGTATAACGACACCCAGGACTCATTTTCTGTCCATGCCTCGTCGCGGCACAGCTGAACCACTGTCTCTGGGTGTGTTGACCAGTTCATTAAGAAACATAGAGGATACTTCATCTGTTCTGGCTTTGTGGAAACCTCCAGAGAGTATATATACTCAGCTGGTTGTTGTTTCTGTTCAGTGTTTGTGTCATTGATGCCACTTTGCATTCAGTCTGCATTATGCTTCTTTCTGATTTAGTGCCACCCGCAGCAGTTTTCAAGCTATATGATAGTCTCTCTCACAGACCCTCATTATCTCCCCTTCAACCAAAAACGTTCTTCAGTACAAAACCTCCAAATGGAGTAAGTCTAGACTACCTCAGGTTCTGACTTATTCTCCATGCTTACTGGGGATCCTTTTCACTGTAAATGTAGTTATTTATTTTTATCAAAATTGTATATTTATTCAGAGTAAGCGTTAGTCTAGCTCTAAGACGGCAGTCTGTAAATAACAATGTCCCGTGATTGCCATTATGAACATCAATCTATACATTGGGACATGATGAGGTCCTCATCCAAGTCAGTGAGCCTGACAATCAGATCTCATAAGTTGACACTTACCACGAACATGCTGACGACCAATTCAATAGTGGGCCTTTATGAGTTATGTATCAAATTCCTACCTTCAGATGTGGAACTGTAATGATGTAGTGGCTATTAAGGTGATTTATTTTCTTGTAACATTACACTTGTGTTTTGGAATGTAAAATCATTTTAAAGCAGAACACAAAGTTGTGCATAAAAAACATTTAACGGTGACAAATCAACAAAGTGTTTGCTTTGTGAACATGAAATGCATAGGAAACATAAAGAGAAAGGCTTGGTAGGGCGGACCTGAGATGGTGACCTGGGGTGTTGACCTGATTTGGTGACATGATATGGTGACATTGGGGTGGTGACCTGAGATGGTCACCTGGGATGGTGACCTGGGGTGATGACATGAGACGGTGACCTGAGATGGTGACATGAGATGGTGACCTGATATGCTGACATGGGATGGTGATCTGAGACGGTGACCTGGGGTGGTGACCCGAGATGGTCACTTGGGATGGTGACCTGAGATGGTGACATGGGATGGTGACCTGAGATGGTGACCTGGGGGTGGTGACCCCAGATGGTGACCTGGGGTGGTGACCTGGGATGGTGACCTGGGTTGGCCACCTGGGGTGGTGACCCGAGATGGTGACCTGGGATGGTGACCAACTTTGGAAGTAATAGTGAACATGGTTGACATGAACTGACTGTTGATGTCTCAGCAATGACAATGAAACCTATGAGCTTCTCAAAGTATGGTATTTTAGCTTCCCAGTTATTTGATCTGTTCATTAGAATATCTTTCTAATGGTCCAGATGGACAACCAGATGTTATTCTCTCATTATGCTTCAATAATTGGGTTTGAGGACGTAACTAGATATCCCTTCTTAAGCCTAGTGTCTGTGCAGTTGGTGGGAGGTGCTGTATGGGTTTGTATTGTGCAGTTGGTGGGAGGTGCTGTATGGGTTTGTGCAGTTGGTGGGAGGTGCTGTATGGGTTTGTATTGTGCAGTTGGTGGGAGGTGCTGTATGGGTTTGTATTGTGCAGTTGGTGGGAGGTGCTGTATGGGTTTGTATTGTGCAGTTGGTGGGAGGTGCTGTATGGGTTTGTATTGTGCAGTTGGTGGGAGGTGCTGTATGGGTTTGTATTGTGCAGTTGGTGGGAGGTGCTGTATGGGTTTGTATTGTGCAGTTGGTGGGAGGTGCTGTAGTATTGTGCAGTTGGTGGGAGGTGCTGTATGGGTTTGTATTGTGCAGTTGGTGGGAGGTGCTGTGTGGGTTTGCATTGTGCAGCAGAATGGTGGGAGGTGCTGTATGGGTTTGTGCAGTTGGTGGGAGGTGCTGTATGGGATTGTATTGTGCAGTTGGTTGGAGGTGCTGTATGGGTTTGTATTGTGCAGTTGGTGGGAGGTGCTGTATGGGTTTGTATTATGCAGTTGGTTGGAGGTGCTGTATAGGATTGTATTGTGCAGTTGGTTGGAGGTGCTGTATGGGTTTGTATTATTGCAGTTGGTGGGAGGTGCTGTATAGGTTTGTATTGTGCAGTTGGTGGGAGGTGCTGTATGGATTGTATTGTGCAGTTGGTGGGAGGTGCTGTATGGGTTTGTATTGTGCAGTTGGTGGGAGGTGCTGT